AGCAAACAGGGCAGAAGAAAACTCGCAGTGCTCTAGGTATGTTCACTAGAAACAGGGCTGCAAAGCCCGAGAGTTCAGCTCCGGCACAGTAAGCAAAGAGCTGGAATTTCTGATTGGGCCCGATTCAGGGCTTAGCAGTGCAAAAGGATTTCCCTAGAGATCAGCAGGCTTTACTGAAGGCCCTCGAGCTGAGGATCTCGGGCCCAGGCACGGGTGTCCCATCTCCCCAGAGTCCATGTCTCACCATGCCCAGCATGGCTCAGACACAAAGTTGTCGGGACTGATCACATCTGGCTCACGGTTGGCCAATGGCAGGCAGGGCTGGGGAATTTGGACCTACCAATCCCACCAAACGGCAGCGAGGTCAACGTCACATGCATCAGAACATCATTTCCACAAAAGCCACCACTGCTTGTCCGCTCCAGCACCTCCTTCACCACCTGGGAGGAAAGCAGAGAAGGTGGACATCAGACTCAGACCCTGTCCCTGCACCTTGAGCTGCAGTTTTTCCCCTACCACCAGGACTGTGTGCTCTAACCGAAATCCATGGGGCACCAGCATATCTGAACATATCTGCCAAGGGGCATGGGGCAGGTGCAGCCCTCGCATCACAGGCAGTGCTTGCCAGACACCAGCCCCTGTGTGCCCAGAAGAGCTGAGCTCAAAAGGAACTTTACAGCATGCCCTGGTTTACCAGCCAGGTGGGCACTCGCCCTACAGCCCCATTTTCCTTGCCCCCTTTTTGATCCATGCAGCACACCTTGCTATCACAGGAGAAGACATAGAGAACCAGCGGCGGCGGACGGGCATTGATAAAGTCAATGGCTTCATCCATGCTGGACACGACAACGATAGGCAGGATGGGCCCGAAGATCTCTTCTTGCATGGCAGGATCAGAGGGCTGCACGTCGGCCAGCACCGTGGGAGCTGCAGAAAAAAAGATTATGGCAGTGCATCAGTCAGTGCACAGGAATGGGTGGTCCCACAACCCCAGCACATGTTAGAGGAAACTGCTGCTTCACAAATTCCTTTTTCCAACAAAAGATCCTATGCATCTCTCCGTAACCTTCAGCTTTCAGATGCCCATGTTGTCCCTGTGACTAAAGGTTGATACAGAGACTCCCCTGTGGTTCTGACTCACACCATCTCTGCTTCCCCATCACACATTCCCAGGGCAAGTGCTTCCTTGCTCCCCACATGTCAAACCACATTCCTATGTCCTCACCGACGTAGCGCTCCTGCTCATCCGTCTGCCCTCCGATGGCCACGCGCCCGCTGCTCAGCAGAGCCCGCACCCGCTGGAATTGCTTGTCCCCCACGATGCGGGCAAAGTCGGGGGACTCCTGAGGGTTGGGGCCGTAAAACTCGGTGATGGCCTCACGCAGGGCTGGCATCAGCTTGTCCTGCATCTCCACGCTGCACAGCACGTAGTCAGGTGCCACGCAGGTCTGTCCCGCGTTGAAGAAGCGCCCCCAGGCCACCCGCCTGGCCACGTTGTGCACCTCGCAGGTGTCAGACACGTAGCAGGGGTTCTTGCCCCCCAGCTCCAGCGTCACTGGCGTCAGGTGCTGGGCAGCGGCTGTCATAATGATCCTGCCCACGGAGGGGCTGCCTGAGGGCAGGGAGAGAGGTGTCACAGCAAGGATCCCACGGGCCTGGGCCCCGGGCTTCAGGGGAGCCAGGCCCAGTGGGAGACACATCAAGTCTCACCAGTTCCTCAAAAACATACGCCCCACATCCTCCACCCCATCCTGACACCCCATCCCCAACACAGCCCTCCCCAGCAGCTCTCGCCCCTTGCAGGGCCGGGAAGGGGGCCTTGGGCTTGCAGGCAGGCTGCTACCCTCCCTCTTTGGTGGGGAGGGTAAGTTGCAGCGAGGGACCGTCTGGTGGGACTCCTCTCCCAGTTTGCACAAGAAGCATCAACAGGGCTCAGCTCTGGCCCTTGGCACATACCAGTGAAGAAGATGTAGTCAAACTTGTTCTCCAGCAGTTTGGTGGTTTCCTCCACACCGGCAGTCACCACAGCAAAGCAGTCCTGCAGTGTAAGAGGAAGGGTCCCAACCCCTCTGTGAGCACCTGCTTAGCCCACTCTGCCCCCGTCCCAACAAAGAGCATCCAGGGTTGCTGGGCATGGGGACGTTGGCTGAGAGTGGAGGAAGTGGGCATGAGCAGTGCCTGGGAACAGGAGGCAGCTACGGTGCCGGTACGTGCAAGGCAGGCACAGGGCCTGCCATGCACAGGGCACAGCTCAACTTGCAGGGCTTGGGAACGCCATGGCACAGGGACAGGGACAGGGACAGAGACAGAGACAAGGACAGGGAGTGCTTCTTACATTGTCCAGGTAGCAGGGCAGGGCTTCAGCCACCAGTCTCTCGATGTTCTTGGTCGTCTCCGAGGGTTTGACAATGACACAGTTACCTGGGGGGAGGCAAGCAGGACATCAGAGCAGCGACACACTCACAGACACTAGCCCAGAGTGGAGACGAGCCACCCAGACAGACCCCCTCCCCGATGCCTGGCACTGCCACCACCATGGGCTGGATCCTCCAGGCCAGAGGAAGGCTTTGGCTCTGGCGCAGCTCACTCACCAGCGGCGATGGCCCCGATGAGGGGCACAAAGAAGAGGTGGATGGGGTAATTCCAGGGGGCGATGATGAGCACCACCCCATAGGGGTCCTTGCGGATGAAGGCTGAATCCAGCTGTGTCACCTGTGAGAAAGGCCACAGCCTTAGCTCCATTCCCACCACCTTCTGCCCTGCCTCAACTCAAGGATACAGAGTGGTCCCCCTCTGAACCAGCTCTGCCCCTTTCCACCTGCAATTCTTCTTCTCCCATGTCAGCCCAGAGCTCCTGTCCTTACCAGATTCTTCTCCACGTGCTCATCCTTCATCCAGTGGGAGAGATTGTTAAGGGTGTTGTTGAGCTCATTTTTGCAGAGGAGGATCTCGGAGAAGTAGGCCTCAAAGGACGGCTGGGGACACAGAGCACCATAAGCATCACTGCTGACATTGTGCCCTGTTTCCACCCCACCCACAGGAGACGTGTATCTGCTCTTCTGCTCTGCCCCCAAAGGGGCCCCAGTGTCTATTATCTCCTGCAACCCCTGAAATGGGGCTCTGAGGAATACCACAGTCTCTGAAATTTTATAGAAATGGGTATTTTGGCTGAGAAATAATCAAAACTGAATAGCTTCCCAAGCTCATCTGACAACAGAGACCTGAGCCAAGAGGGGATCAAGCACTGTCACCAGAGCTGAAGGAGAAGGGACAGCTACAGAAGAGCTGTATCAGATGTAGCCATCTTCTGTCCTCAAATCCGAGTTAGCACTGAGCTGCGCGCTCTCTCCACACCATTGACCTGGGACTGGAAAACATGCAGCTAAGCTTTTGTACTGGTGCATTTGCCCTCGTTGCTGTGAGTCACTGCAGCCCGACTTCTTGGGCATGGGCTGCCTGGGAACACAAGCTGGAAGCAAAGCTCAGAGCTGCCTTCCAAAGCCTGAGCCTGTGTATGAAAGCCAAATGTGAGACCTTACTTTGTTCACGGAGAAATATAAAGAAGAGCAACAGCTCGGTTATTTGCCCTGTGACAGATCTGCAGGACTGTACAGGGCAGACCTCTTCCGAATGCCACTAGACTCCTGTCCAAGGCAGGAAAATCCTTCAAGCTTCTGGAGCTACTGCATCTAAGCCCACACCAGGCTGGGAAAGGCACATTGGGTGAAACATCCCAGTAAGCGAATTAAATAAACCCATCACGTTCCACCAAGCTAAACGATCATGACGTGCACTGACCATTACTTGGGAGCGGTGTGCTGGCTGGGTGTAAGAGCTGGAATCACAGGGGTTACGGAGGTATTTTTCTGCATGCGGTAGGACCTTTGCACTGATGTAGTAACAACAGTGAAACAACCGAGGTCACAATTGCCTGGTCTTGTGGGAGCAGCATTAAGACACAAGAAAATAGTTGGGCAGGATCAGTAAAACAACTCCATTGCTCTGGAGAGGCAACACTCCAGCTAGAGGATATGTGCAAAATAGCAGAGAATGAGCCAGGAGGAAGTTTTTTTTCAAGCTTCTAAAACATGACTTCAGAGCAGGAGAAGCAAAACTCTTTGCCCTATTAAGCAGTCTGCAAACTTCGGTGGGTGCAGCTGCCTCACGCACTCTAGCACAACTCCCTTTGTACTCTTCAAACAAAAAACTCTCTGGGTGGGAGCCCTCCTCCTTCCCTTCAGCAAAATATCACTTCAGGGTTTCTCCGGTTAGAAAGTCTGATTGCTGGCTCCCAAATGGCAACCTTTCATGTACTCCACCACCAAGCCCAGCTCAAGTAACCCGTTGTGCTTGAACCTTTGGGTCCTCAACACTGCTCAACTGACTGGACACATCCCGCTTCCACAACATATAGCTGCTAGAGATGAGTGCTCAGCCAGTACATCAGATGTCTGACGAGGCAACGGGCTATTCTCTCAGCTCAGGCTAATAGTTGCATTTCTAGGAGGAGGAAGCAATTGCTGGCCAAGATGGGACATTAAGGGCTTAGATGCGATATTAAGGTTGTAAGATGGGACATTAAATCTGATGTCATCCAGGTTCTTTCTATCATCAGTGGAGAGAAACCGGCACCACTGGGGGTGAGGCACCCACGTCAGATACGTAAAACCAGATGAATTGTCCATCTAACTATGAAGGCCTAACTGCATAACAAGCACATTATTGGCCAACCAGCTCTTAATTACATACCATCAGGAAACAGAAACATTGCATTTCCGGTGCTGATGTGTATCAACCTCTTGCTGAAGCAGAAGGTCCTCATCTCAAACCAACAAGGCAATTACAGACCTCGTGAGATTTTAGAATGGTGAAATCCATGTTCGAGGGCATGGTCAGTGCAACCCAAAGACACAAATCCTCTAAGTGCGACCACTACCAGGTGAGGACATCCGCAGCCACGATAACTTGCTGAAAGAGCAACCAGTCTGACAAGAGACGAAAAGGAGCAAAAATCCTATACGGTGAGCTATTCCTCTAACCGGCGTGCAGGGACACCTAACTGGGACCAGCTACGCTATACCTGGGCAATCCGTCCCGCAGAAAACTTTTCCTAACGCAGCACCGGAGGCAGCGTGACTGAGGTGTGCAGTTGTCATCAGGCTGCACCACATATCAGGAAAGGAGAAAAGAAGGAAAGTCCTGATGTACCCGACCACAGAAGAGGTGAGCGGAGATTGCTGAGTACGGCAAAGGTGCAAACGATCCCCTCTTTCCTCGATGGGCACCCTGCTGGAAGCTCCCGGGGTACCACACTTCCCAAGGCCTTACCAAAGCCACAGCCCCTTCCCCGTCAGTGCCACGGCGCAGTCCAACAACCCTGCCAACAAGAGCCATCCCGTGTGAGGCAAGTGAGCTGCGGCAGCTTTGAACGGCCCGCAGGAGAATGTGCAAGGCCAGCACATTGCACAACGCTGGTAATCCTGGGTGTGACCAGGCCAGTGAGGAGCATCCCAGGATGCAGCTTTCCACACCTGGGACGCAGTGGAGGCCACGCGCGGCCACTCAGGACTAGCTGATGATTTGGGCAAACATCAAGGTGAAGCTCTGTAACTCCATGGGGAGGATGCTGCTCTACGAGGAGGCTGGGGAGGGAGCATTGAGTCGGAGTGGAAAACCTCGGCGGGACCACCGGGCCGGAGGGGAGCCGTGCAGCCAGGATCAGGCAGGCTACGGCAACTGTCACACCGATGCTTGCACCACATCCTCACCGTGAGCGTAGGCAGGGAGATGATTCCCACCTCCCGTTGGCCAGCATGGGCTCTGCCTGTTTCAAGCACGCCTCCAACGTGGCTGGCAGCATTCAGCCTGCCCGTCCAGCACTCGCACGCCCTAGCTGACCCCGGCTGCAGAGAGCTCTGAGGGACCCAGCACTCGGAGCACCTAGAGGTGCCCCACAACAGCCCTGGAGCCCCGTTGCACCCTCCTCCTCTAGCGTATGTGGGCAACCTACTGCACAAAGACAGGAGCTGGCAGCCCAGGAAGGGCTGAGGGCCCAGCGGGACACAAGACCCTAATGAGGGGGGATGTGGGAACCTGATTTGAGGAGCCCATTGGCCAGAGTCCCGTGCCTGCACCCAGCTGGATGCAGGACCTTGACGAGGGGGGACACAGGACCCCAAAAGCTGTCCCCTACGTTCAGCGCTGGCACCCAGCAGGATGCAAGACCCCAACAAGGTGAGACCCTGATGAGGGGATCCCCGTGCCCGCTCCTGCCTCCACCCAGCCCCTCACCTTGCGCATGTCCAAGGCTGTGGCCTCCAGGATGTCCTGCTGCTTCTCCTCCAGGAAGCGGCCCAGGGCCTCCAGCTGGGCCACGCGGTACTCCACGGGCCGCGTCTTCCCCGAGAGCCAGGCCGCCCGCAGGCGGCTCACCAGCCCCGCGTAGGGGTTCATCCTGCGAGGGGTGCAAGGAGAGGGGTCCTGGGGTCCCATCCGGGGTAAGGAGACGTCACCGGCATTGAGTCAGAGGAGGGGGCTCGGACCCGACTAGGGGGTTAAATCCGGGGGCACCGTCTGGATGGCACTGCCACCCGCCCTCGCTGTTCCCCCCCCCTGCACAGAGCGCCAGGTCTGACCCATGGATGGGCAAAAGCTGCCTCGTTTCCCTCTCCACCAGCCAGCAAGCGGCCGTGGGCTTGCGGTGCGGCGC